ACATTTAAACTCATTTGGTTTGCTACCGCATTCTAGTGGCTACACAGTGTAAGCTAAAGTTTAAAATTGCACCAAATTAAAATCATTTTGATGGTTCCAACTTTTAATTTTTTAAGTTAAAAATTCACGTGTCTACTACTAATTGAGATTAATAATTAATCTGAAAAACATTAAATTTACGTAGTGCATTGCAAATTACATGTGTGATGGTGTGACAGTAATGCATCGTGGCAGTAATGGCGACGGTTGCTGTTGTGACTTGTGTAACTAATCAAAGTTCATCTAACGAATTCAACATTAAATAGTTAAGATTGGATCTTGAAAAGTCAACAACAGTAATATTAATATATTCCCAAAACTAATTTTTTCTTGCTAAATATGCCTCTTAGCCTACCGTTGTGTTTTAGCCCGTTTAGTGATAAAATTTTGGGCTGCCTAACCTGTTTGCTTTTAAGAGTTTTACTTAAATAGTAAATGAAAGTATCGAAATATTTCGAATCCGAGTTTTCAACGGAAACCAAGTCTTGCTAAAAAGCCTTTGTGTATGCGTCTAGCTCAGAAGTGAAAAGTACGAAACTGAAATCTACGTTGTTGAGATAAGTTAGACGTATGGGTTCTTACAACAATTTTTACGTCGAAATCGACTAAGCTGCAGCGGTACTCGTTTCTTCGTTCTTTTTTTTTTTAACTTGTTTAATTTTTTTTCAAAATTGTTCCTACCAACTTGAATAAACATGCCTTGTTGATCTAAAACTGTAATGACCTTTAATATCAAGTACTTCTTACCCTCATAAAAATAGTATTAGAGGGTTTAAAACCATGATTTCCAAAATTTCATCCTCTGAAGTATCATTTATTTTGTTTATTAGAAGTAATTAATGATCCCTTATTGTTATTAGTAATAAATAAAACCAAAGGTGTTTGCTTTAGACCATATGATAGAAATGAAAACATCAACATAGCGAGATTAATAATAAGAAATATATATTATAAATAAAAAATCATTAAAAAGAGGGTGAAATGTTGAACATCGTTTACATTATGCAGGTCGAATTTTTAGTTTTTGAGATATTGGAACAAATGTGCAAAAATACTGCAATTAGGCGGCTCTAGCCGAAATTACACGAGAGTAACTCACCAGAAATCTGATGGCTCAATATGATTCACTCTTTACAAAAAAAAAAAGGCAGAACGCGCTTATAAGATTCATAACCTTTTTTTATAATTGTATGGGAACTAAAAAAGACTTCCGAAAAATGATGTTGCTATTATTTAAAAAAAATTGTTAATATGCACAAATCCGGTACTTATAAATCAATTCATTTCTATTTTTTTTTAATAAAATTTAATTGATTAACATTATTTTTACGTAACATTTTATTTTATTTGTCTAACGTGATATGATATAATTCAACAATCCAGTTTTGGTAATAGGAGGAAGGAAGACAATGGATTTCAGTTATAGATAAAAATCTGAGTCTTACAATAGCATCATTCAGGCTATCTTGAAGAGGAAGTTGAGACAAATGTGTATACTTCATTCTATTAAACGGATGATTGTCGGTTTAAACATCAACCAGCTTCATGTAAATCATTTTTATCATACTTTATGAAAATAAAAAATAAACTAAGACTTTAGAACGTATTTATTAATAAATTTTATTTGTCATAAACTTTCCTATAATATTTATTTATTTAGACATATAATATTCTGTCTTGTCGATAATAATTATATTGATAAATTAACACAGAAAATATAAAATTAATAAAAGTAAAATAATAACTAAATGATAATAAAAAAACTATGTACAATAAAAAATAAAATAACCTAAAGATAAGTATCCTATAATATTAAATTAAATTTTGTAGTAATTTGTCTAAAACACTCTTTGAAAGCATATATATTGAATAATGAAGATATTTGAGCACTCACCAAACCTAAAAGAATACAAATAAGTTATTATACATCTTCAATGATTATTCCTAATAGATTTTCCATCCTTAGTTCACTTTACAATTGGCTGTCATTAAGTTATTGTTATTATTAAGTTTATGTGAAGTTATCATTAAGTTATTAAAAAAAAAATGAATTATAAAAATTCAGCCTTTGAGGCAATTCGGTGGTTTGCAACACGGAGTTGGTACACATGATAAAGCAATTTATATATATTTTTAATTACTATATATTATTTTTTAATTTAAAAGAATAGAAATTAAATTATAACTTTAGGACTATTATAAATTACTAATATTTATTAATTCAATTAAATATATTTAAAAACGTTTTTTGGGCCTAAAATTGACGTTTAAAATTAAGAAACCTGTTGATTGCTTTAATTATTTTCATGAAAACATAAATATTAGGGCTAGAAATATTAGTGTTGCCACTTATAAATACGGAAAGATTTCTATGACAGAGGTCTAAAAGAAAAACACAATTTCTTAAACACCTTACATGAAAAATATTTAAAAATTCATTATTTTTAAATTTTTTATTTTTATAAATACAAAATGTATTTAGGCGATTATATTAAATTTCAAGATATTCGAAATCATATAAAAACAAGAAATAAAAGCTTTGCAACAGTTAATTATAGTCGTTTTCGTTGAAAACATAGGCACTTTTAGCTAGATAGAAAATCACATTATTTCTTTACACAACTTGAGGTGAATCTAAGTTTTTGAATGACAAATAAACTTCAATTTAATTAATATGGACTTATTAAACGAAAACGTTTTTCTAACAGTGTTATATCTGTAGTATAGCATAGTATAATTATAATATACAGGGTGTTTCAGAGTTGAGTGGTCAAACTGGAAATATGAACTAAGGGCCTCAAAACAAGAAAATAATTTCCTCTGAATGTATGTCAGCAAACGCTTTGTTTAAGATTTATTCACACCTAAACATTTTCGTTGTTAAGAATTATTTACGTTATATGAAATAAATAAAAGCTATTTATTTACCTGCAACTGATAATATGGCTTCAATGAGATGGTTGTCCGCCACATTACGGAAGAGGTCCACGACAATGGCTAAATATTAATTATTTCAATCAATGATTTGGCCGTGCAGGACCAGTGGTTTGGCCTGCACGTTCTAAAGACATGACACCATTGGATTTTTTTGTTTTGGGTGGCATTAAACAAAACGTCTACGCAAGTTCGGCCACATTATCCAAGCCATGCATGTGTGATTATAACGCCTCTGCTTAGGCTCTACTGTTCCTTAATACCAGTGGCGCGGATGGGTTCTCTTAGAGTCCTACCTTTCCTTCCACGAGTGGGGAGAAGGACTTGGCTCGGAGATCTTGAGTGAATGGATTTTTTTTTAGATATTTTATGTATTTGTATATTTTATGTATTAACCCTGTTCCTACATGATAATCCCCTCAAATTTTATCCCACCATCAAAAACCTTGGAATAATCTTCGATCAAACCCTTTCCTGGAAAAACCATGTGTCCAATATCTCCCGACGTACCTTTCCACCCTATAACACTTAAATAGCCTGCGACACCTTTTTCCTTTTGAAATCCGTAGACTCCTGGTCACCTCTTTAATATTTCCCCACTTCGACTATTGCTGCACGGTATATGGAGGCGTCTCTGGGGACCTCGAGGCGAAATTAAAACGTTTGATAAATTGCTTTGTACGATTCATCTTCGGGATCCCAAGAGACTCCCCTGTTTCCTGTTTCTATGAAAAGTTGAAGTGGCTTTATCCTTCATACCGCCGTAAGTATTTCCTGGCATCTTGCTTACTTCCTCTTCCAAGTAATTCACTCCCGCCGTCTTTCATACATCGCCGAGCTCCTCCAATTTAGATCCACTGTTCACTCCCGCAATACCCGTCCCGGTCTTCAGATTTATATATAATGTCCCACCAAACCGCTGCTTTCGATAAATATTTTATTATTCGATCCTCTTCCCTATGGAACTCCATCCCTCCCCACATCTGTCAATCCAAAACCCTTCCTACCTTTAAATTCCAACTGTTTAATCATTTCTTATCCATCCAATCATCATAAAATTGTAAATATTTACTACTGTAAATAGGTATATAAATTATTAGATCGTTCTTTATTATTTTTACTTTATGTTTATTTCCAATTTTTTACTTTTTATTATTAACTGATATAAATTAGAAAGTAACTTATAATTTCTCTTATTATTTTTTTTCATTTATCTATTTTTTTTTTTACTATTTAATCAAACTATATTCTTCTTTATGTATCTCTGAGGCTCCTTAGCCCACATTTTTGTCTCTCTGTATTATTCTAAAGGGACTCGTCCCAGAATAAATAAAGTATTATTATTATTAATAGTGTAGTTATTTTCATTAGTGTAGTTTCTTTTTTTTTAGTTTATTTTATTTTAGTTTATGTACATTTACTATTAGTATTATTATTTTTCTGTACTATTTATTCTTATTTATTGTGACTGGAGTGTGCTCTTTGATTATTATTATAAATGTCCATTATTTGTGACTGATCGTAATATCTCTCTATAAATATGTTTAAAATATTGCATTTATATTATTCACTGGCCACACAGGATTTTTCTCTCACGAATCCATTTGCCTTGAAGTAAATGGACTGATCGACAGTACTGGAGTTTACATGTTTTCCATATTGTTTTCTAGAAATAAGCGTCATGAATATCCGCAAACAGTTTTAGTTAGCTACTGATGTCACATTTTTACCCAACACCTAACGGAACACATTATTTGTCATTTAAATATACGACATTTTAATACTTAGTACGGAAGATCGGTAATCACGTTACGTTTTTGGTTTGGATGGTGACTGTAATTATAAGGAAACTGATATAGGGAAATCACTTACAGCCAGCGATGACTAAGATTGCTGTTTTCCTCGTTGGTTTCAACGAATGGCGTATGTTTGACTCGGATTCTCGCTACACTACGAGGAAGGACAGTACAACCCACCTGTAGCATCTTCAGTTGGAAATCTGTAGCCAGTGGATACACACAAAAACCATGAAGCATCATATATGGAAGGCTGTGATAACAGGTTTCATCTGTCTTTCGTTCTCAGTTAGTGTTAGCATTAAATAATTAAATAAATAATTTAACACGATCGTTTTTAAATTCAATATAGGAGAAAATATATTACCTTGCCCATATATAGCAGGGCGCTAAGACACTGCAGGAGTGATGGCCTTAGACATTCGGCAGCCCTGGGCAATGATGTCATCTCTCCCGCCTCCCCTTAATACTTGTTTTTATTTTATTTATATTTAATGCAAGTTGCACCTGTGCGGCTGCGCATCTAGCAAATTTGTTGTGTTTGTACTGTCGGTTTATTTTCTTGATTTGTTTTTTATTGATGTAGTAGGTCTCTTGGTCATTCTCTTCTTAATCTGCGTTGTTCAGGTAACAGGGAGCAGGAGATAGAAAGAACCAGAGGATTGGGGTGATTTTGGGTTGAAGAATGAAGTGTAGTGTATTTGTCGTGGATGTAGGATTTTACTGTTGGGGTGTTTAAGTCGTTATGTATAGTAGTATTTGAAATGTACCAAGGTGCGTTAACAATTTTTCGTAAAATTTTTGTTTGTGCTGTTTGTATTTTGTTTATGTGTGTTTGATTTGTAAGAACCCAAAGTTCTGCTCCATATGTCCATATTGATCTCAGTAAGGTGTTGTAGATCAGTCTCTTGTTTCGTAAGTTAAGTGAAGATCTGTAGTCCTGAAGATGTGAAAGTTGGCTATATAGCCTAGTAAGTTCTTGTCTTTTTAATTTCGTATGTATGTTCCAAGTAAGTCTTTTGTCTAAGCAGAGTCCAAGATACCGTACATAGTTCTTTGAAGGCACTGGATTATTGACAATCGCTATGGGTGGACATGAGGCTTTTCTAAGAGAGAAACTAACATGGGTGGATTTATTACTGTTTATTTTTCAGTTTTTAAACCACTTTTCAAGATCATGAACAATACTTAAATTTATTTCTCAAGCTATTTTAAATTATATAATAATTAAATTGTATTTATTTGATAAAGCTGCTTTATTGATAGGCTAAAATACCGGTTGCTCCGACGGAAGACCGACTCTAATAATAAATAAATAAGCCGACCGTAGTTCATAATCTCTAATGAGCATAAACGTAAGATTTAGACTTAGTCTCATGAACTGATTAAAAGAATGTTATCTTATGTTATTTAAAAACAATGTTCCAACGTTACAGAATATGAATAAAGGATTTCAATGATACTTGAAAATGAAGAAATATATTTTACTCGTGTTCGATGGCCCTAGCCAATGCGCCTTAAGAGCTGTGAAAAAGTATATGATATAATTTAAACATGTTTTTATATTATTTTTTCTACAGCAAGTATTTTTAGATTATTATATACCGTAGGTGCAGACCCTGCGGACGCCTCAAGGTCACATGTGCTCTTGGGCTATTTGCGGTTTCTAAAAGGTTTTGATCAATATTCATTAACTTAGCTCTGAAATTAATTAATATTTAATTATTTAGGTAAAATAATTTCAAAATTACTATAATCAGTTGAATATATGTATATTTAGTGATAAACAAAAATAGAAACAGTAAAATATAAAAAAAAATAAATTGCTCCCTCCATTAACACTGTAAAATCTTACTACAGGCTCTAATTATGAAAGAATTTCACAATTGTATTATATACTAATCATTTTTAAAAAATTATTTTGTGGTTTAAAAAATGAAAACAATATTATGGATTGATTAGGAATTCCTTTTTAAATTAATTCAAATACAAAAACTAAACGTTCAGTATCATAAATCACTAACCAATCAAAAAAATCACTTGATTCTCTGGAAAAGCTTCTTCACTCAAATATTTAAATATATTAAATAACCTATATCAATATTTCATTTATCGTCCGTCCTATGCAATTTGTCTTACTGAACCGAATGGCGAAACACGTTTGATGTTGAGAGAAAAAAAATATACATATTTTTTAAAATGTTATTCGAAATAAACATAATGTATATATCTTATTATGCCGGACGTATCCGAATAACTATTTAGGAATTCCTTTTTCATTATATTCTATAATCATTTTTGTCAGTTAATGTCCTTTTGTAGGTTACATTCTGTATGCTATTTAAATTGATGAATTTATGAAAATTCATCAACATGAGAGATGCTAATTGGAAAATAAATTATCTGATAATACTAACTATAAAAATATTTAAAGGAAGGAGATGGTCAGGGGTGGCGGTCATAAATAGGCTAAATAGTGCTAAAACTATTTTTATTAAAAGCACAATTCTGTATCTTGTCCTCTAGCCCTGAAGAAGACCTGCAAAGTCGGGTCGAATCGTCGGTTTTTAATAAAAATAGTTTTACCACTATTTAGCCAACTTATAACCGCCACCCCAGGCCATCTCCTTCCTTTAGAATGCAACGGTCAACTATTAAATATTCAATATAAAAAAATTTGTTTAAAAAAATCTCATGTATTTAGTATATTTGTTGGTCTTTTTGTCGTATCGGTAACATTTAAGAAATAGTACTTTAGTTTAAAAAAAAAACAACATTTAAATTCGCGGTTCATCTTTTTACTTATTGAGGCATAGTTTTTAACCTAGTAAACACCACTAAATCATTCTGTGAACTATTTGGCAGTTGATTGTTTAATTTCATTTAGCCTAAGTCTGTTAATGGTAAATCATTTATCATACCTACAAAATTTACATTCACATTTATTTATTGAATAATATAACATTATGTCTCTATAACCATGGATATTGGTTATAGAGAGGTGTCTTATATGTACACACAAAAAAAAAAAAAATAAACACATATGTACCTAGATACACTATTTACAATCAGGTGAAAGAACTCCGAGGCAGGCTTTGCCCTGCTACTATGGATGGAGAAGCAGGACACCAGGAGATCCCTGCGCTACTCACTCAACCGCGTCGCTGATACTAAAGCCAATGAAGATTGATCAAGACCGCTTTCAATAAATAAATAAACAAAACTATTTTCAGAAGAATGCCCATCTCCCCATAGTTATGAAAATATTTCATTCACTACTGCATTCATTTTTAATATAGGAAAATTCTAAAAGACATTCCAAAATGATTAATAAAGCCGTTGTACCACTCCTCTATTGCGCATGCGCCGTCACAACTTCAAATCCACTTAATACTAAACTTAAGGTTTTATGAATTATTGTTTTATTTTTATGTAGAACTGTTAAATGTTAATTTCATTTTTATTTTCAGTTGCATGATCATGTAGCAGCTAGAAACGTCGATACCAGTATGATCACACGAATGATGGCAACTACCTACGCAACGCCTTCAGAATATGCAATTACCGATCAAAAGAATAACAATCCAGAGTTGGCCATTGGTCCAAGTTTGAGCGACGATAACAAGCCATCCAATTGCTGCCAGAACGCAGGATGGATATCTGAGGATGAAAAATTATTTGTAGAAGAGGTAGGGTGGATTGCAGTTTCGGGGGCCGAGCGGGATTTCGGAGGAAAACATTCATAATTCTATTTTTGTTTCTAAATCTATTGTATTCATATTGTTATGCTTAAAAGTACTTAGTCGGATATTATTAGCAATAACACCATGCAAATGATACATCGACAGCTACCATGTAAAAGCTTGTAAGTAAAAAACATAAAAAAATATCTGGGCGCCCACGTGTGTACATCGCTGTAATTCGTTCATATAATAAACTCAATTTACTTTAATTTAATTCTCAGTTTCCTTAAGTTCAGTTTTTTTTCTTCTCTTTTCTAAAAATAACACTATTAATAATCACGCTATTAAGTGTCGGATCTCCACACTAATCGGAGTAAAGAAAGTGCAGTGAGATTGATAGAGTTCTGGGAGCAACGAGCTTGAAGTCGTCCACTAATCCTAACAGCATTAGACTTTGTTAACTACTATCAACTGTCCTGGTATTTATTTATATTCTAATTGTGAATTAATTTTCATTAATAAATTTAAAAAATGGTGCAGTGTAATATTTGCAAGAACAATATCCACTGCGTTAAGTGTAAATTAATTTTTCATGATAGGTACGTCAACCTTACTGATAAAGACACCGAAGCCCTAAAAATAATAAAAAAAGCATGGGTTTGATCTAATTTCGACCAGGTCAAAAAACAAGCTACCGAGCCGTCTCCCTCAGAAATACTTGCGGCAGTAAATCGTTTATACACTACCATGAACGTGGATATAAAAAAAAACAAGAAAACATCCCTGTATAAATACGGAGAGCTTAGTTTTGAACTTAACGAAATACTGTCAAAGAATGAAAAACATCTTGAAGGTCAAGCTAAAACGTTTGAGGAGATAATTGTTAGAAAATTAAGCAATCAAATCCCGAGTGGGCTAATTAGGAGTTTGCTTGGATAACGTGGAACAGGGACTATTAAGTAGATCACTAGAGATCCGAGATATACTTGTTCGTTCTTCATTTCTCAAAGTGTATATTTATGTTTTCCTACCATTATATAGAGTTTTGTTCATAGTTTTAAGTGTTTTGTTTATAGTTTTAAAATATTTGTACATAGTTTTATCTGTAATGTATAGAGCTTGTTCATTTAAGGTTTTCATTACTTTTTAGTTAATTTTATCAATTTTATTTATTATTTCAAACTTTTAGGCCAGTAGTATTATATTCTTTTGTTCAATTTTGTTATTCTAAAGGGACTTAGTCCCAGAATAAATTTTTTATTTCTATCTATCTTTCTATTTCTTATTATATGAAGTAGATTTTTCGTTAAAGTTTTATTACAGCTTAAGAAGAAGATGTGATCTTTTAATGTTTTTATTTGATTGAGTCTGGCATGCGGATTTACTGTACAAACTCCGTCAATTCTTGCCCCTACATATTTCCTATTAATCCGCTTTTACCTCACAGATAGAATCTTAAAAGTAAATTGTAACTTTGGTTATTCATCTCTCTTTTCCCAGTCCGCTGGTGTTCCTCAAGGGAGCATCTTAGGTGTCATCCTTTACACAGTATATACAGCTGATATCCCATCCTTCAACCATCCTGACTACCTATGCTAATGACACATGTATGTTATCTGTTAATAATGAACAAACTATTGGATCACAAACCCTTCACATTTCAGCCATTGAAGAATGGTGTGAAAATTGGAGAATTAAAATTAATCCAAACAAATAACAACAAATTAATTTTATCCTTCGTCGTAATCCTACAACATCCTGTCCTACCGTATTCTTTACCAATATTCCACTGATCCCTGTCGAACAGATCCGTTATCTAGGACTCCTTCTTGACAGACGCCTCACCTGAAATAGACTTAAAAGACAAGAAACTGCCAACAGATTCCAACTACTACAACACTTATTGACAAACGCTCTAAACTTCTAATATTCTACAAAAAAACTCATTTACACTGCCTTCATCAGGCCTATTTGGACACATGTTATAGAACTTTAGGACTCTACAAAAACATCAAATTCTTCCAATCCAAAATCCTTGGTAAAATTCTAAATGCTCCTTATTATGTAACAAATAAAATTATCCATAAAGACCTCAACATTCCTCTTGTGGAAGACTTGGCCCGAAATAGATATACCTCTTTTAATTTCAAACTTGTATATAGGTATGACTGTGTTTTTATGTTTTTAATTTACTTATCTTTAGGTTATTTTATTTTTTATTGTACATAGTTTTTTTTTATTATTATTTAGTTATTATTTTACTTTTGTTAATTTTATATTTTCTGTATATATGGTGTGAATGTGTTCATTTATTACTATAATCATTGTCCACGATACAGAATATTATATGTCTAAATAAAATAAAATAAAAAATCAAAAAAAAAAATCAAAACTCTTTGGTCACCCCAATCCTCTAGCTCGTAACCATTTATCCAATGCAATTCCTGACAACCTTCCGAGGTGTGTGAAAAGAAGATGGCTAAGGGACCTCTTATCTAAGGGGCTAAGGGGAATTAATTTATCTTTGAAGTGTTACCAATGGGTGGCTTCTTCACAAGTACTTCCTATAGCAGATTTACTAGTTGTATTTACGTTTACAGTTGTAAATTTCAATAAAATAAAAAAATAAGATTGTTTTTTATGACTGTGTACGAAGCCATGATTGAGCGAGAAATTCAAAACTGCAAACTCTAATTAACTTACAGGCTTTTGCAGTGTGGTTGTCGATACCAACGTTTTCCATACCTAACTCAATTTTTTCCATTAAACATTTTCAAAATCAAATTCCACCTCTTACAAGTTTGATAAATTTCTGAAAAAAAAATTGTAATTAGACCAGAAAAAATCAATTTATTTATTTCATCTCTACCACTGAATATCACTGCCGTATTACACCACAAAGTAATATATTCTACAATTAAAAAAAATTGCTTCTTTTATATATTGAAATAGTTTTTAACTTCTTCTTCTTTGTTTTGGAAATAATTTATTGTCGTACCCATCCTTAAGGATAGATTTAGGGTTGAAAAAGTGCTACATTCTAGGAGGAAATGCTTGACTGTTGTCATAATTTGGCAAAGGGTATATCGTGATGCTTCCAGTTCTCGCAGGGGCTCTCCATGAGAAACTGAAAATGACCGATTCGGAGACCTTTTCTTCCCGCCTAAAAGTTTTTAATGACATATTATCCTGATTCCTCGAACTTATTACTACGTTTTCGTCCCATCTATACTTACTTCATGAAATAAATTGATGTATCAAGTCGTCTCTGGAAGTGAGAGACTCGTCGATGTGTTTGGGATGTTTAATATCATATACGGAAGAACCATTAACTATTTCCTAATATTTAACTTTGTGTAGATAATTAATTAGTAACATAGCATAATTATAAAAATTTATTATCCGTGTAATTGTAAGAAGAAGTTGAATTAGATTTAGAAAACAAGTAATAAGCGTATGTGGCTTTAGTGCCCTCTCTTAGTCTCCACTGGATTCCCATCCTAGTGATGCGGCTGAGAGAGAAGCGTTGGAATCTCTTTGAAGTCTTGTCTTATCCTCCACACGTGGTGGGAAAGGCCCAACTCGGAGCTCCCTCGTCTGACTGTAAATATTGTAAATAAGTATGAATGTATTTTTATTATTTTTTTTTTAAATTTAATGTTGTATTGTGTTTGATTTATTCTGTTATTCCAAGTTTATTTTATTTTATTTATTATAATCTTGTTTTTCTTTTATTGTATATATGGTATGTTTGTGTTTCATTCATCCTAAATACCAATGCCCTTAATTGAGGCAAAATGTATTTTTCCTCAATAAAATATTATATTTAAGAAAGATTTAGAAAAAGTAAAATTTCCCATGGAAATACTCTATCGTTATATAAATATAAACACAGCATAACTCATTTTTTGACTAAACTGTAATAGGCTGCTAATTGGACAAGTTTTTTCACAACTAATCGATTTCTAACTATAAATATAATTTTTTTTATATTTGTTTATTTAGAAATATTACATTCTGTCACATCAAGGACATTTATAATAGTGTTCAGAGAAAGCACACTCACACTCTATTTACAATAAAGAAAAAAAAATAATACAGAAACTTAATAATAATAAATACAATAAAATGAAATAAAAATAAATACAATAAAATAAAATAAATATAAACAAAAGAACTAACCTAATCATACACACTCGGGCTTGAGTGGAGGATCTGGCAATTGCCAAAACTCCAATAGATGCTTATTTACAAAAGGTCTCTGGGCCACTGCCGCTTCAACCTTCGAGGAGGATTGTAAGGATGGGTGGTGCTGGATAGAGATTGTGCAAGGGGATTTGGATGATAGGTAAGGTTCTGGTGAAATTTGGAGAATTTTTCTGGAATAAGGTCTAGGACAAATGGGATATTAAGGTCATGGTGTAGGATTTTGTTATTTACATAGAACGGAGCATCAACTATTGTTCGAAGGACTTTAGATTGAAAGGATTGAATACGTTTGATGTTAGAAGCTTTTGCTGTCCCCCACAGTTCAAGTCCGTATGTCCATATAGGTTTCAGTATTGTCTTGTAGATAAGTAATTTGTTTTCAATAGAAAGTTTGGATTTTCTGTTTAGTAGTCTGTATATCTGGCCGTATCGTCAGTTGAGTTCTTGTCTTTTGAGTCTAGTATGTGGGTTCCACGTTAGTCTTCGGTCTAAATGAAAGCCAAGATACCGGACTGTGTCGGAGTAAGGAAGCTGGATGGAATTAAAGTGTACTGGTGGACAGGAACTGCGTCGGAGTGTAAAGGTAATATGTTGGCATTTAGATTCATTAACTTTAATGCGCCAGTTATTACACCAGTGCTCAATCAAGGTGAGGTGGTTTTGGAGATTTAAGGATGCTATGTTGGGATCTGAGTCGGATGATAGAATGGCGGTGTCATCAGCAAAAGTTGCCAGGAAGGTATCGGGATGGACAGGGATATCGGCGGTAAAGAGGATGTAAAGGACGGGACCCAATACGCTACCTTGAGGAACACCTGCCTCAATTGGATAGCAATGCGAAAATTCAGTACCGC